CAGATGAAAACATAGACGACTATAAGGATCCTTGTATGGAGGCCAGTTTTGAATTAGTTTAAATACAGAATGAATATTAGAAAGAGAAAGAGATTGAAACAAATAGAATAAAGACTCAATCGGATGAACATTAAACATTTATCAAAACAAGAAAATATCGATCATCACAGGAATTACAGATCAAACCTGCATTTTAGAAAAATGAGAAAAAGAATCATGAAATTACAGGTAAAATATAAGCTAAATCAATTATGGTTTCTTACTTAGTAAAGAGATTTTTGACAAAACTATCAGCATCAAGAAGACATAGGTTATTTTTTAAACACAAACATTTTTAAATAGTTGGAGATAAAGCAAGTGGTGAAGAATAAACTTTAGGGGAAATTAAAAGTATTTAAAAGAGTAAAAGTAAAAAAGGCAAATCTAAAAATATTTTATAGCTTGTTTTAAGCATAATTTTAGAATGTCCTAATTTTGTATCAACAGTATTTAAATAATTACCAATTATTTATCCATAAGATATTCATAAAATAATATGGGATATTTCATTTTGTTTTGTATTAATTTACTTTTTTGTTATGATTCCTTTAGAATTAGCATTTAATAAAGGATTATTGTACTTATAATGTATATGGTTGACAGTACCTTTGTGTTTATTTCTATTAATAGATTATATAATGAAAATGAGTACTGTTTATTATGAAAATGGTTAACCAATAATAGATAAAAATAAAATATTTAAAAATTATCTTAAAAATGGGTTTATTAGTGATGGATTAGCTATTTTAGTGATAATATTTAATTTCTTTAATTATTTTTATATTAAGAGTTATTGGATAAGCTTATTGTAATTGTGTTTTGTAACATAATTTTCTTATTTTACAAAAATAATTAAGAATGTAGAAGAATCAATAAATTTAGACAAGACATCATCATCAATTTTAAATTTAGCAAAACTTTTATTAACTATATTATATTTTGTACATTTATATAGTTGTTTATGGTTTTTTATTGGTGATTATGGAGGTTAAATGAATTGGAGTAATTGGTTAGATGATCGTCATTTAAAAAATGAATCTAGTGTATCATAATATTTAGAATCATTTTATTTTTCTACTGTTACAATGATTAGTGTAGGATATGGAGATATTGTACCTTAAAGTAATTTATTATTATTATTTTAAAGATGAACTAGAAAAGGTTTTAACAATATTATTTATGTTAACAACTTGTATTCAGCTTTCTTTTACTATTAATACAGTTGCATAAATATTTTCTTCTATTAATCATGCTACTGAAAATACATCAGAGAAAATAAGAATAATAAATAAATATATGAGTAAAAAAAATATTAGTTTTGGATTGTAATATTAGTAATTTATATTTATCATATATTAAATTAGAATAAGATAATATATAAAGATCTATTGGAGTTAATAAATGAAAGAAGAGAATGAAATGGAAGAAGTACTCATTAATTCATTATCAGAAAATTTAAAAAACAAATTGATTGAAGAAGCTAATTCTTCCATATTAGATAAATGTGAATTTATTAAAAATACTTTTACTAATCAAACAAAATCAAAATTAATAAGATTATTAAAAACTGTTTTCATTAATCCTGAGTAGACAATAACATCATAATTACCTTAATTTATAGAACCATGTCTTTGTTTTATTGAATCAGGAGAATTACATTTATAAAATAATAGTAAAATAGATAATTCAGAATTAATTAAATTTAATTAAGGTTAGTATTTTGGTCTTAATGAATTATTAACAGGTTAATTACCTACATTACAATTATAAAGTGAATCATTTGTATAATTAACAGTCTTATTAAGAAGTGAATTTTTAGATGTCTTAAGAGAAAATCCTATTGATTATGAAACATTTTGTGCTATTAAAGATTAAATTTTAATGCATGATCTTGATGTATAAAGTAAATGTATGTCATGTAATTGCAGTGGACATACAATATCAAATTGTCCTGTTGTACATTTTGTTGTGGATAGAGAAAAAGTTATAAAAAGTCATCAATTTTATCATAGTCAAAAAAGATAATAATTTGTTAGGAAGAGAAGACCAAGACATATGTTTCATCCAATATTAGATTAATGGTTTTTGTATTAATTTTATATCTTATTTTAGATCTGAAATGAGTAATATGTTTAGAAATCATGGAGAATGGCCAATTATTCAATTTTATTCATTATCTAATAAATTATTAGAACAATAACCTGAAAAAATAGGAGCTGAATCTCCTATTGTTAGAGTTCGTGATATTACTATAAACAATAGCTGTAGATCTCAATCATAATTACCAAATTTACATGACATTTTATAAATATCTAAAATAGAGATGTAATAAAATCCTTGTAAAACAATTTAATTATATTTAAGTTCCTCAAAATAAAACTATGAGATCAAATTACAAAAGAGCTAGTATAAGGGTTAAAAATATTGGAATTAGATTGAAATTTTAGAAAATTGTTAAAAAAATAATAAGATTAAGACATTTTTCAAGTGGATTCTAAAAAAAAACAGATTCTTAAAATTAACTCTCTCCATAATCTATATTTAATAAAAGTATGTATTGGGTTGTTACATCTTATTTTCAACAACCCTAATTAGAAGATTATCTTAGTAAAGAAGATTTTTTAAATCTTTCTTTTTTAAATAAAAGATTAAATTTAACTCTTAATTAAGATTTAGATTTAAATAAATAATTTGATTGTGCTAAAGAATATCTACATTATTTAAAATAAAATAATTTAACATTAGTTTTAGAATAATTAACTGAAAAATCCTTAATTAAAAAAAAATCTTAATTCTAAAGTTAATCTTAAACAACTATAATTTTATAATAGATACTAAATTCATAAGAAAAAAGAAAACTGTATTTGTAGACTTATCTTATAAAATATTTATCTTATCCAAATGAATATTTTGAAAAATTCCATAAAACAAAGAAAAAGTTTTGTAATGATGAAGAACAATTAGGTGAGAAAAAAAGAGAACTTATTAAAAGATTTTCAAATAAAAAAAGTCTCAGAAGATCAAATAACATGATTGATTTTTAAAGATCAATCTAATAATTTAATAAATTAAATAGAGTTCTACCAACAGATTTTAATATAGATACTCCTTGAATAAAATTAATAATCTTTAATGATATTATAAAATTATATAATTATACATCAACTTAATAATTATTAAAGCTCTTTCAATTCATTATCTTTTGGTTATGTTAATTCATCATTTAATTAATATATTCTCACCTCACATCCTTGATATGAACAAGCCAATAAATCTTATTATCTTTAATTAAATCTTAAACAAGAAGCACTCTAACCATCATTTTTAAGTGTAACTACCTATAAATATAAATCATATTTTACTTATTATTATGTATCTTAAGTTAAATCAAAAATTAGAATTTATCCTAAACTATCACATGCAGCAAAAACACAAGGTCTAGTTGGAGAAAATTAAGCAGATAAAATATAAGTTTAAATGTATTCATAGACAGCCAAACATCTAGCTGTATTTTATAAATATAATCTAATTTATCCATCCATTGAAGCTGTAATGAATGCAGATTTTACAAATGGAGAAAAATTAATACAGTAAACTGTTCCATAATGAGCTTCATAGGCATAGTTTATAGGATTGGCATACATTTTTCTTATATCTGGTTTAGAATTGACAAGTTATTAGATAAATATATTGTTAATTTTTCTTTCTTTGCAATAATTTTCTACATGCAATTTTATTTCTGGTAAACATTTTTAATTTAAATTCTACATAAATAATATTGTTTCCTCTTTCCAAATAAGTCCTTTATCTTTTTCAAATATAATAAATAATTACCTCTAGAATCTAAATATGCTTATTTAGTCATTGTATAATTAATTGGAGTAATCTAGGCTCTTAAAACTGAACCTCCTTCACTCCCAACTATAAAAGAAAAAGGATCTTCATTTGATTAAGAAATACAAACTCCTCCTACACTTTCAGTTTGAGATTCCTTTTTTCTTACCAAATAACAACCTTTCAATGGGTTTTGTAAACTAAATTCAGCATTTCCCCTTTCTGGATTCCATATTAATACTTTGCCTTCACAACCTAATGTCATGATCTACATAATTATGTATTTTATACTGACTCATCTTATAACCATAGAACAGCAGTTATACTTTCTCTATGATAATACTCATCAATAGTTGAATGAGCTAATTCAGAATTTGTTGAGATATCATAAAGATATAATTCTCCATTAAAACTACCAACTGCTAAAATATTTGGTTTAGTTGGATGAAATTACATACACATATTACATGTATTTGTCTCTATTACTGTTGTTGGTTTATCAGGTTTGAAATCTCTTTTAAAAATGTTCCAACAATTAATGTAAGATGTATGAGAGCATTAACCCATATGTTCTAAACAACCATAAGATGCAGCTATCATCAATCCATTAGAATTCCATTATATATCAGTAATTTCTAATTTCTTTTCCAATTCTATCGATTTATTTTAAGCATTTGTTAGAATGTAAACTAATTCAGTTTCTTTCTTTTAAACTTCAGAAATTGGTTTGTAACCTAAATGAATATAAAATTTATTGTTACTATGATATTTTTTCAAATTTAATGATTCATCTAATTCTTTGATAACTGTTGGCAATACTCTTTTTAAGAATTGGGACAATTTATTTTAATCGAATTACATAATATAAAGCTTTCCTTTTGTTTATTGTAATTCGTTTTAGTCTATTTATTGCTGAATATAAAGAATAGTACTTCAAAATCCTAACATTCTTTTTTAGTAGTTGTTCCTTAATTTTTTACTTTATAATCTGTAACTGTTCCCATATCTCTAATGTATGTTTATTTTCCTTTCGTAAATTCAAATATTTATTCTTTGTCATTGAAATCATCAAAAATTCCTTCTTTCATATTTTATAAAATATTATTTGATATATAAATTCATAAAATTCAATCAAGAAGAATATCAGGACAAAGTTCTCTAATAACCATATCACTGATTTTTATTTCCATCCCATCTGCAACTCCATTCTCTAAAGTGACTTCATCATAATTTACAACTTTCCCCCTAAAATAATCAGCAAATTTTTCTAATCTTTTTGAATCTGCCTTAATTAATCTATAGTGAATTTATCTCATATTTATTCTATGAATTATTTAATCAGGTTTTAAACCACATGGACATCCTGTTTCATCCCATAATTCACTATACCCACCAAATTCTTTCCCATGAGGTGGTTAATCACAAATATGAAATATATATCTGAGACTAGGTATTTTACTGCTATCTCTCCAACTTATTTATTAAGCTGCTACATTTAATCCATCTAAAACTGCTTCAGCACCATCACCTCCTCCAGAACAATCTGATTTTTAAATTGCTTTTAGTATCTCCCTATTAGAACATAAATCATGTAATTCAGTAACATAAGTTAATTCTTAAGGAGGATGATCTCTATAACAAACTAATCCAAATCTCACACTTACTTATTCATTTTTTGATTATTATTTTATTCTTTCTACTAACATTTAAACTGTATTTGTTGTTCTTTCTAAATATATATCCATAGATCCTGTAGTATCTACAACAAAAACACAGTCAACCATTCCAATTGAAGGTTGATTTGCATCTGAAGCAACTGATATATTTGATTTTGTTTTTCTAGGTACTTACTTATTTTATTATTATTATTATTATTATTAAGGCTTTGGTATAATTTTTTCTGTTTTCATTTCTTATTTCTTTATAACACTCTTCTTTTCTAATTCCATTTCATTATTATTCTTTTTTTTTTCAGATTATTATTTCTTTTAAATGTCTGACTAAACAATGTCTTTTTTTTAAACCTTTTATAATTGAATAGGTGTCTTTTTTTCAATTTTCCTTGAAGATTTAGAGATAGAGATTTATGACTATTTTTTAAGATCCTATTTTGTTTTATTTTATTATTTTTCTTATTTTTCTCCTTTTACCTTAACTTATTTTTATTGAACTATTTTTTTAGGAGTTTCCTTTTGCTTCTTTTACTCTTATACTACTCTTAACTCCCTTTATCTTTATTATCCATTTTTATTTCTTAATTTTATTCTGTCTACTTATTCCATTCTTTATAAATATTCATTTCCTTCTTTAATTGTCCTTTCCATAGATTTAGATCTTCTCACCATTATTTTATTATCAATAAATTTTAAATAATTTTTAACTTTTAGATCCCTTCTGTGTATATTATAATCAGATTTATATCAGTTTATAATAATTTAAAGTTTCTTTTATTATTTTTATGTATATAATTTTTAATGATTAATATTTAATAATGTATTTCTATTTTATGAGTTAACGATATAATATTAATTTCTAAAGTCAATTTATCTAATGTTTAGAGAAAAAGAAAAATGTCCCAATTAAATGAAACATAAAATTATGAAAATTATTGTTTGGCATTTAATAATAAAAATAAAAGTCTTTATATTTTTATATTATATATTATATTTAAAATTCAATGAGTGCTAACGATAATTGCTAAGATTTTAATACATTGGATGAATAACATAAATAATAGATGATGTAATTAGAAACAATGGGTATGATGTGTAAATATTAAATGATTTTTACTAAAATGGATGCAGCATTATTGAAAATAGCATCTATTTTGCGATAAAAGTAAATTGTGAATTATAATTAAGATAAAATAATGACAAATCATATGCTCTATTTTAAATTAAGGATAGTTCAATAAATTAAAAGCAATCTCTAATGATAAATGCATTATCGATAGCATAAAGAATGAAGTTAAAGTTAAATGGATTATTTAATTTTTGTGAAAAACATGCTTAAGAGAATTAATTTGTAGGTATTTAATAAGTTGAATTTTTAAGCATTTCATAAAATATATATTATTTCAAAAGCTAGAAATTAGGAACAGAAACTTAAAGAGGAAAATGAGAAATAGAAAAAAGAATTTTTATTCAAATTAAACTAAAAGGATGAAGATATTGATAGACAAAGGAAAAAGAATGAAGAATTAGAAGGAATATTGTATTAATAAAAGTAAAGGGAAAGTGATTGTACAATAAAATTACAATAAAAAATGAAGTTGATTTAGAGATATGAAAGTGATCTTTTAGAACTTAAACGATAACCATCTTCTACTAAGAATTCTAATTAAGAAAATAGAGTATTCTTATTATTTATATAATTTTAAGTTAAAAGAATTAGAAAATAATAATGCCATTTTAAGTTTATAAATATAATAGAATTCCTAATCTTTAATAAATTTTGTAAAGGAAATGAATGAATTATTGGATAGTCATTCTTTTATTTTGAATGAGAAAAACATTAGTAGTTTTCGTGCAAAATATAAATGAATTTTTAATTTATTTTTTATTGATAATTTACAATTTGGATACTCAACTAATTTGTTCATCTAACTCAGTATGTTATAAAAACTCATGAAACATTACTTTATTTTTATCTAATAATTCAGCAAATTAATGTTCCAATCTCATAGAATTTAATCCTAATTCCATAGGATAAGTTTCTAATTTAAGCATTCTGTTAATTAATTTATCATTACATTAAATAAATTTACCTTTTCTATTACTTATATAATGTGTAAAAGATTTGACCATTTATAATTTTTCATTAGATGGTAAATGATTATTAATATTGACTGTTAGAAATCCAGTTTTGAAATCAACTTGAACTTAAAATTATTTTTATTATTATTTAAGTTATAATTCTTTGAGTTGTAATAGACATGATAATAATTAGGAGGAAGATAATTAATATTTTAATTGTAAAGATAATTCTTCATTTAAATTAATATTATTTATCTATTTATTATTATTATTATTATTATTATTATTATTATTATTATTATTATTATTATTATTTTGATTCCACAATTATCGAGTGACATATTTATCAACTACATTATCCAAAGTTTATTTCAAATCTGGAAGATTTTATGTTCCTTATTAGATAATTTTATATTAATTTGAATAACAATCATAAAGAAATTAAATCTAATCAATTTATTTAAATTTATACTTTTTATCTTTGTTATTAAGATAATTTAATTAATGAATCAAATAGATAGTATAAATTAGTTTTACTAATATATCTTTTATCTAAACTAATCTCTTATTTAACAGGTAATTCTAAAGATTCAGTTTTAAGAGAAACTTCATATACAATTCCAAATCTATGTTATTACCCAATAAACAATTAATTGATTATAGGAGAAGCTGTAGGTGTTTCAGTTTATAATTAATGAGAGGTTGGTGAAATAGCAACCAAACCAGTAACAATTTAATTAAGATTATCATATTCTATAGAATCTAAGGGAGTAGAATTGTCACTTAATACTGTAAATAGTCTTTATTAACCAGATAATGGAATTCTTCTACCATATTATGCCAAGAATTAATTCACATCTTATATTCGATTTCCTACTCCTACTTTTACAATTTAAGTTTATGAATCATATTCTTTATGTTAAACTTTCCTAAGATTAATGATCAAAAAAGGATATTTACAATAAGTAAGTCTTTTGATTTCTTTTTAAGATAAATTAAGATTATTTTATAGCTATTATTTATAGTCTTCAATACTATCAACATCCATAGTAGTAACTTTAAATCCATATTTAGCAGCTTTTTGTACTATTTTTTTGATAGCTTCAACTTTTTAAACATAAATGATTGCTGTAGGAGTACAAAACTTTTAGGCAACATATTGTTTCATGTTACCAAAATGAAGATGCATTCCATCACTTCTTGCAACAACATTACCAATAATTTAATCATCGAACAATTCTGTTCCATCATCTTTCTTAAAATAGGTTCTTGCTAGTTTCCTGATGAATCGGAGTCTACGAAAGTAGGTCTCTTCAAAATACTAATTCACAAAATAAGAGGTTGACAAAGCACCACATATAAGAGATATTCGAACGTATAAATTATTCATTAAATTTATGAATTGTTAAATCCACCCCTTTAAGCAATGTTCTTTTTATAGTAAAAAATTAGATAGACTATAATGTCCTCTCTGTTTATTACCATCAGATCTATAATAGTAAGTTATTGATAATACTACAAAACCTTTATAAAACAATAGCATAATTGATATTGATTTGGTAGAATCATTAGCTTAAAGTTTAATTTAAGAAGAAGATTTACATTAAGATTTGAATCAATTAGAACAGAAGTATTTAGATATTATAACAGAATTCAAAAAAAATACAAATAATTTCTTAGAACAATTATGTTAAAATATTCAATCAGTTTTATTATAAAATCTATATAAATTAAGAATGAAAGCAGAATAGCATTAAACTGAGATGGAAGAAAATTAAAAATTATTATAAAAAATATAAGAAATGAGAAAAAAAGATGATTATGATTGTATTGAATCAATAACATCATTATAAAGTGCTATTATTAAATCAGATAAAATTACTCATTAGAAAATAATATCATTATAAACAAATACAATATAAATATTAGAAGATTTTACAAAATAATTAATGAAAACTCTTGTTTCTATAGATATTCAGTAATTTGAAAATGATATTTAATTGATTTTTGATCCTAAATCTAAACCATTAAATAAATAGAATGAAATTAAATCAGTAAATTAATCAATGTCATCTTAATTAGGCAATATTTCAGTTGAATAAATTAAAAAAATAACGATTTAAAATTAATTTTAATCATAATATATAGTTAATTCTATTTTATCATCAGAAAGCTAAATAATTATAGGAACTAAATGTGGTAAATTAGTACTTTATGAATGTAATTCATTTGATGAATTATTTTCTATGGATGCACATAAAGATAGTATCAAAATATTAGCAAAAGGATTAAATGAGAAATTATTTGTATCAAGTGGTTAAGATAAAGTAATTAAAATATGGGAAAAATTCTATTCAGAAACTGAAAGAGCCTTTTAAATTGCACTTAAATTTGATTTAGAATAATAGGTTAGTTAAGCTGTATGTTTAACAGTATGTGAAGGAATTTAAGTATAAAAATCAAAAATAATTAATTTGTAAATAAATTATTATATTCTTAGACTTTTAGTAGGATCTGTTGATAATACTGTTAGAGTATGGAATTATGATAATGGATAATACTTTTTTACTTATTCAGGTCATACAGGAGATGTATATAGTGTAGCTTTTGTTAAGAAAATAAATTTAATAGCATCTGGATCTTAAGATAAATCAATTAGATTATGGGATGGAATAAATTATAAATATAGCAGACCTGTTTTTAAATTTAGTGGTCATACTGATAGTGTTACAGGTGTATTAGCATTATCTGAAGAAAATCAAATATTATCTTGTGGATTAGATAAAACATTTAGATAATGGGATTGTGACAAGAAAGTATAAGTTAGAGTGTTTGCAATTTAATTTTTACCTTAAAGACTTATTCAATTATAATCAGGAATAGTATTAATTTAATCTTCTGATACAAAAGTGAGAATTTATGATTACAGAATAACAACTCTCTTACATGAAATAAATAGTAATTGATACAATTATATAATTAGATCAAAGAAGAAATGTAGCAACATATTGTGTTGATAATGATAATAAGAGCATTTTATGCGTAAGTGAAAACCATATAAATCTATTTTATTGATGAAATATAATAATAAAATCCATTATTATTTTTAAAATCTAATTATTAAATAGTTATTTAATATATTTTTAATAAAGATATTTTGGATTATAACTAATGTTTTATGAAAAAATAATTGTCTTTATATTTAGAAATTAATTTCTTAAAATGAATAATAATATTATAAAGGAGTTAATATATCAGTTTATATATATATATATATATATATTCAATACTCAATCCTTCTTCATCAAAAATTCTATTACTTAAGACATCAATTTATCTAATATTGGTAAAGGCAATCCAATAACATTAGAATAATCACTTTTATAATTTTCAATTATAATTACCCATTTATTTTCTTAATGAACATATTACCCAGAGCTTATATAGCATATCCTCCTGCTCTTCCTTTCCAATTCGATTCATCATCAACATAAGTTTGAATACTCTTTTCAGGTAAATATTAAAAATGGACTTCTGTTGTTTCTATTCCATTCAATTAGAATATTTCATTTTTTTCATTTTTTCCAACCACATAAACACAAGTATGTACTAAATGTAATGAATTACTGAATAACTTTAAAAAATTAGATGCTTCTTCTTTATCATTTGGTTTTTCTATAATTTTACCATTTATTTCACATACAGTATCTGCAAATATACAAATATCCCATTCCTAATTATTTTATTTGAATGTTTCAAGAAGATTAATTACTTTACCTTCACATGTTTTTTAAACATAAGTTGTTGGATCAAGTTATTTATCTAGGTTTTCTTCAAATGTGGAAGGAAATACTTCAAATTTAAATAAATCAATCATTTTTAGTAATCCCTATCTTCCTTTACTTTATGAACCAAGTATTATCTTAGCATTCTTTAAAAATTCTTTGTATATCAATAACATGGTCTTTTATTAAAAAGAAAATATTATTATTAAATATACTATGATGAAACAAATCAAAAATATATTTTCAGTATTTGCAATAAATATAAATAATAAATGGAGACAGCTACATGTTCAAAGTTTTACAGCCCTAAAGTTAATTTTTAAAAAGCATTCATAAATTTGAAAAGAAATAATCCAAAAACTTTCAAGACATTAATTCAAGATTAGATTTAGAAAATTGATTCTCAAAAAATTATACAAGATTACAAAGAAAAAAGTAGATAACGCTAATGTAATTTTATTTAATAATATTAAAAGAAACAACTAGATTTTTAAGATCTCGTTAATAAGCATCTTAAAATTGTCTTTAAAGTATTGTGATTGATAGTTTTGAGAAAAAAAATTTCTTATCTTCACCTACATCTCCTGCATCTCCTAGACATAATTCTATGACAGGAGAAAAATCTATAAACTTCAATACTACTTATACTTAAAAAAGACGATAAATGCAATAAATTGAAAATTTATTTACAGAATAAATTAATAATGAATATCGAAATTCATTGCTTGAATAAACGGAAAAATTTATTGCAGATACTCTATCTTAAGAATTTAGAGAGTTAGGATCATTATTTAATAAATTTATGTAAGCTAAAAATAATGAATTAAATGAGTAATAAATAGATTTAAATATTAATGAAAAAAAAATTGAAATTGAAAAACAAGAAGAAATTCATAGAATTGATAGGAATTTTAATTCAAAAAAAGTTTAATATGAATTACAAATTTATAATCTTAATTAAGAAGTCGCTCAATTGTAATCTAAAATTAAAGATATAGAAACAAATTTCATTATCATAGTTGATAAGAATAATTAATTAATCAAAAAACTAACCTTAAAATCAAAAGAAATTAATTTAAAACACTAATAAATAATAAAATTATAAGAAGATAAAAATTATCTTATTCGCAAAATTAAAATTTTAAATTCTAGAAATAAATAAACTATAGGAAATTCATAAAGAGAAGAAATTTAAGATGATATTGATAGTATCAAAAAATCAATAGATTCATTATCAAATTCTCAAAATTTAGAAAAATTAATGATGATTAAATCTGATTCATTTTCTTTAGATAATTATTCAGATAGTATAGATATGGGTGAATATAGATTAGATGAAGTTATTCTAAATCATGATACAATAATTGAATATCGATCTAAAGAAACTTAAACAACATTCGAATTAATTAGTGATCTATATTCTTTTTCTGAAACTTAAACACATTTCTCTTTGATGGATAGAAAATATGATGTAATTAATTAAGATTACATTGATAATACTTTGCATTATATAGATTTTTTCTTATCATTAAATGAAGAAATCTAGACTGACAATCCATTCAAATCCATTTAAGAATATAATTAAAATCTTTATGAAAATTAATATAATACTATGATGATATCTTAATAACCAACTTCTAATACTAATATATATGAAAAAAATTTTTAATAAAATAGAAATGATTTAATACCTTTTATGAAATATTTACATGAAAGATAATTAGAAATTGATAAAACATCATTATTTTAAAAATAAGAAATTTCAGAATTGAATTCTTAATTAATTCAAATTGTTAAAGACAAAGTTTAAATCAAAGATGAAAACTAATAATTAAAAAATGAAATTTAAGAATTATTAAAACGATTAGAATAATTAGAAAATTAGAATAGTTTTTAAAGACCTCTTGAGATTTTATCAGACACTGAGATTTAAATTGATGAAAATATGTTAAAGAAAAATTAAAATAAATAAGGTAGAAAAATTAGAAAGATTAGAAATTTGGGTAGTAAAGTACTTATTAATATATAAATTATTAGATTTCAATATCTTATGAGTTTCAAAGAAATTAATCTAGATTATTAATAGAAAAAGTAAAAAATAAAAATCCATCAAAATTCACAAATTATATGCCAATTAAATTAGTCCTTAAATTTATTTTTACCATTTATTAAGATAAAATATATAATCAAAGAGAAAATAAACTTTTAAGAGATTAAGATATGGCATCATATATCTATAATTATTTTTTATAATAATTTGGATATACTAAAATTACTGAATAAAGATTTTTAATATTGATTTTATCAATAAAAAAATATTTAAATATCATAAGAGTCAATATATTTGCAAAATTCTTAGGATTATTGGAAGATAAAGTTAATTATACAGTAGAAGAATAATAGAAATATCTTTAAGCACATGAATTTATTCAAAATTAACATTAATTAGGTGTTTAAGTTAAAGAAAATGAGTATAATTTGAAATTTTATGTCCCTTATCTTAGAGCTCTTGCTTATGTATCTAGTTTATAAAATTGGTATTTTTCTGGTGAAGAAATGAACTATTTGAAATAGGAAATAGAATAATTGAAAGAATCAGATGATAAGAATAAAAGTGGAATTATAGATTTTGATTAAATGATGCTAAGAGTTTTAGTTGTATTTAGGAATAATATTGAAAAAACTAAATTATACGTTATTAATGCCTTTAATGCTTGTGATTTAGATGGAAATGGATTTGTAGATGTTCATGAATGGCTATTATTGAATAAATATATAGAACCTTAGAAATATGATGAAATTAAACTTACAGATACGTTTGAGGAAGCAGCTGATATGTAATTAGATGATGAGAAATATCTATCATTTGATAGATTTTCAATCTTATGCATGGAATCAGAACTATTTAGTGATGAATAATAAAATAAATTTTTAAAAGTTAGAAGTAATGATATTTATTTATATTTTAGATAATTCTGAAGTAGAATAAAAATTTTTTGAATTAAGAAAGGTTTGGTTAAATGAATATGTTTAAACATTAAATTATATTAAAAAAAATCACAAATTAGAAGATGATGAATAAAAACATTGGATTTAAATATTAAATATTTTAAATGAGAAAATATTACTCAATCCCCAATAAAGCAAACCTTTAATTATATCATATAAAATTCTCTAAGGGGAGATTTACTCAAAACAAACAAATTGAATTATTATTTTTCAATCTAATTCAAATATAAATTTCTTATATTTTTATCATTTAAAATATCTAAAATCTTATTAAATAAATTTATTAGATATATTTATTATAAAATAATTCAAATTTAGAAATATTTATAGTTAAATATTATATAATATATCTAAAATATTTGTATAATTATTTTAATTCGATATAAATAGTTCAATATAAAATTTTAACAAATTATACTAATGCTAACTATTTTATATGATAAATATTTTTAGGATTGTCAATATATTTATTATCTATCTACAATCCCTAGACAGACAATTATTACATCTAAATATCATCTTTTCATAAATTTTATATAGAAATACATATATATATCAGATATTATGTTTTCTTTTTTTCATAAAGCATTTTCTTTTTTAGTAATTAGTTAATAATTCACTTTTTTTTTCTAAAACTTGCTACAATAAAGATTATGATCTTCTTTATCTAGGTTTTTCATATTTACTTAACTATGCAATGCTTTATTTTTAAATATAACTTAGAATTAGATATTATAATACTTATCCTCTGAACATAAAATACTATACTTTGCTATAATTTCAAAGACGTTAGATAGTTAATGTAATTAAGAAGTTTGTGAAGATGTAGAACCTTTTTTTTAATTCAACATTTATAGGGCTTTTAATATGTTTTTAATTATTTGAATAAATTTAGAAAATTAAATATGTTGAAAGGATTTTTCGTAATAATCTAAATTGAATTAATGTATTCTTTTAAAACTATTTACAGAAAATATTCTTTTATAATTCTGAGTTTACTTAGATACAACAATTATGTATTTGATAAATTAAAATTAAGAATTCTTAAAATGATTTCTTAAAAGTAAATACAAAAAATAAATGTTCAAATTTTTACATTTTCATAGAATATTGTTGTGATTAATTGTAATAATTTATCTTTATCATTTAAAGCCTACTGATAATATTGATGTATATTTTATGTATCTTCATTTTGATTTTAACTATTTTCTTTTATTTATTCTTCATTTTGAAAATCAAAAATTAGAGAATTCATTTTTTAAATTTATTCATTTTAATATATTAATTACTTACATATTTTTAAGAAATTTTCATTTTATTATTCTTTTATTTGTTTTACTTCTTTATCCTTTTATTGAGAATGTTATAAAAAATATCTAAAATTCTAAAAATTTTTTATTATATTAATTACTTCCATTAAATTAGATTATTCAACATGTCTTTCCTATTGTATTTGACTAAGCTTTGTTAATGAACTTCCTCTTGAATGTGAACCATGTTAAATTAAATTAATTTATTTCTCCAAATTGGCAATTTTATTATTTTTCTCTGTTATTTATAATTAAAGCTTAGTTAAATTTTTTTCATCAGGATTTTTAAATGATTAATTATTAAAACTAACAGGATGCTCAAATTTACTTAATGATTAATTGAAATCAAAACAATTTAATTAGGGTGATAAACCAATTCTTTATTCTATATCTACAATTTAACTATTATTTGAAGATAATAAACCTTATGGTCTAAAATTTTCTATATAATATCTTTTATCTTGTTAATTTGAATTTAAACAATCATCTAATTCTATTTTATATTTTTCCATTTTCTTTTTATATTAAGTAGTTTCCTGTTCTTGTTCATATAATTTTTTTCTAAATTTACTTATTTCTTATTCATATTATGTATGTTTACTCAAAAGTTTGAGATTTTCTTCCTTTTAAACTTAGATTTCCTTTTTAAGTAATTCAATTGTTCTTATTTCTGAAGAATCTTTTTAGTCTGAATTTTCATAGTCTAATGCTCTTTCTGTTGGTTGATTAGATGATAATTATGACTTTAATTTTTAATTTTTTCTCCTTTTATTCAAAATTTCATTTTATTAATTTTACACTAAATTACTAAGGTCTTCAATTTACTTTTTATTTTTTTCTTAATCTTATGTAAATTCTTAAAATTTAAACCAAGCTTCTTCAAAATCATCACAAATTACTTTTTCTAAGAAAAAATCAGCTTAAGCTTTTAATTTATCTATTATTTCTTACTAGTCATAAATTTTAGTTTGCATTTCTTATAACATATTTTGATAATCAGATTTCAATTATTCAATTTATTTTGTTTATTAAATTATGATATTATCTTTACTATATAAGTTTTCTTCTAGAGATATTATAGTATTTGTTGTTTAAAACTCTGATTGACCTAAATCTTATAAACTATTTGATTCCAATAAATCACTTTACATAAATTATACTATTTCTTCTTATTAATTATCAGAACATTATTTCATATAATAAATGGCATCCTCTTTTTTCACATAAAAAATAGTTTCGAGAAAATATTTGATAAATTTAGCTAATTCATCATTGCAATCAGAATTTGCAATTTCTTATGTAAATTCTTTAATCTATAAGTTATGATTTCTTCTTATTCTTTACAAACGAGTAATAATCAGGTTCCATAAATATTGTTTCAAATCTGTTTTAAAGCTATAATAATTTTGGAGGATTTATATATTACAATTCATCTTCCAATTATGCAAATAAGATTCCATCTTAAATTTATCCAAAATTGTGGATTTGTCTTTTTGGAAAATTACATTTATTAAGCTACTAATAAAAGAATGTATTTTACCAATTCAATAACACTTTTCATAAAATTTAATAAAAAATATTTGACAAGATAAACAATAGAAATTAAATGTATAACAATCATCATTCATACTCTTAATCTTAAAAAGATAAGAGTTCCATTTTTTTAGTTAATTTTTCATGTTATATTTATTTGTTATTATGTTTAGTTTCAATTTACATTTTCTCAAATTTTTCTTATAATTCATTTTTATTATTGGTTAAGAATTTTGCAGCTTCTTTCTATGCTTCATTTTGATCATAATCAATATTCGATAAATTATAATAGTCAAAATTTTGATATGGAGTATTAATACTACAATCTATTTCATTATGTTCATATATATCTGGTTTGCATTAATTAGATTTTAATTAATTATCTAACAAATCAAATAAGCTAAGCAATCCTAATTATTTTTCTCTAAATTCATTAGACACTGAGCCATTCACTGGTATAAGTATTTTAGATGAATTATATAGATTCATTAATTCATTTATTGTTTTTTCATCTTTGATTTCAAAATAATCTTCAGAGATTTCAGGAAAATTTGGAACATCATCCTAATATATATTTTTTCCAAACATCTTAATAATTTAAATAAAATAGAAGTTTTTGTCTTAATTATTAAAAATTATTAATAAAGATTAAAGTCATATTATTATTTATGTATTTTGTTATTAGTTCTTATTTTGAATGGATCTAACTTATTTATTACAAATAATTAAAGATTTTTAAGATAATTAAGAATATTAGATATAATTGTATTTAATAATTTACAAATGTTAACATAAATAGAGGATAAAATATCTACAATCCTTAATGTAGGGTTTAAAGAGTAATTAGCTAAGTTTAAGAATTAATCATTTAGAAAAAGACAATCATTTAAAGAAACAGAACTAAGAAGAAAAAGTACTGATTATTGGCTTGCTTCAGATAAAGAGAAGCGTCTTGATTTATTTATGCCTATAGATTAACATTAATAATTGAATAACAAATTATTATTAAGATGCAATACTAAAACTCTTTTAGTTAAAAGAACAAAAGGTTTAATTAGAAACGAGGTAAAATCGAAATCGTTTTAATCTATAAACAACACTGTTTAAAATAAAATATTTTATATGAAAAAGTCAGCATAACATTTAGACAAATAAACTGATTTTGAGACACCTTCAAAGAGAATTAATGGATTTGAAAATATGATCAAATCAAAAAATTATGAAATTTATATTAGAGGAAGAACTAATTGTATGATTAGAAATTATATTAATGAAATATTCAATTGTGAATAAAAACCTGATATTAATAATATTTCCAAAAGAATATAAACTTTACCAAATACATAAATAAAAAAATAAAAGAATTAACTAGATAGAAATGAATAAATTCTTAGAACCTATAATTCAAAATAAAATGATACTGTTTTGAAATCTCTAAGATTTTGATTAAATATTGTATTAAAATTATTGGATTAATTTGTTGTTAAAGCATTATTAATTCAAACAATAATTGTATCAATTTTATAGAAGTTTTCTAATTTAAAATCTAATTAATTATATATATATTAAATTAATGAGTGACTCAATAGACTAATGTAATTAATAATCTTGTTTTTAAGAGGAAAACTTTCATGGTCCCAATCCGATAATGGTTTCTGAAAGAATTTTACTTGGTGATGGAGATCTCTATTAAAAATCTCCTGACAGTAACTCATTTACTGTACGAGACCAATCAAAAATTTAAGATTTTAGCAAAGACTTAGTAGATGCTGTCCCAATGGATATGCATAAATCATACAAAGGATTAAAAAAATCAGAATACTAATCAGCTTATGCTATAGAAGAAGAATTAGAAACTGGTGGTAAACCATAGTTTTTAAAACTGATTATCTCTAAAAGTCTACAAAATAACTTCATTAATAATTTATGGAATAGAAGTTATTTAAGGAAATTACATCAATTAACACCTTTTTAAATTTAAGCATTAGATGATTTATAATTTGAAAATGAAGTTTACCCAGAAGAAGAAAGTATCAAGAAGGAAATCAAAATTTGTGAATTTATAAAGAAATTTTTCCTTTAATTAGAAGTATTCACACCATATAGTAAATTAATATTTATTTGGGATTTATTTTAAATTTTCACATATGTTTTGATATTTTTTTGGTTGCCTTACAAGATTTCATTTTAATTAGACTACATAGGATAACTATTAAACTAAAAATCAAAAAATTAAATGATTGAGATAATATTATTAACTATTTTAAGTTTTGATGTTGTAATTGGATTGAATTTAGCATTCATTTATAAAGGAATAATAATTAAAGACAGAAAAAGAATCATTATTAATTATTTTAAATAATATGCATTTGTAGATCTTGTAAATATAAAGATGTATATTAGTAAATAAGGTCTCAATAAGTACAGTAACAATACAATTTTTTATTTTAAATGACAGTTAAGAAGATCATGATATAGATAATAATTTGACACTTTAGATTTTATTTTGTGTTATATTTTATGTATTGAGAATGACAAAAATAAATAAAATATTAGCATAAATACAAGAGTAAATATATTAAATTATATATATATAAGATTTTTCAATTTAAATGGATCCTTAAATGATTTAGTTGGATTACTAAAACTAACAATGATAATTTTATTTATTGCTCATATTTGTGCATGTGTATGGCATGGAGTAGCCTTTTATAATGATTCATATTCTTGGTTGGATGCTTATAATTTAAGAGATTAAGGAAATGCATCAAAATATAATACAGCAATATATTGGGCTACAATGACAATGACAACAGTTGGATATGGAGATATTACTGCAAAAAATAATTCAGAATTATTGATTAATAATTTGACAATGTTTATAGCTTCAATTGTTTTTGCTTATTCAGTAAATAGTATAGGAATATTTGTATCAAATATGTATAAAGGTACTATGGAATATAGTAGAAGTGTTACTCTAATTAATACTTTTATGTCAAAAAATAAAATTTAATTTGAACTTTAAACTAGGATTAGAAGTTATTTAGAATATATTTGGTAAGAAGAATAAAATATGAATGATGATGAAGTTTCATAAATTATTTGTAAATTAAGTAGTCATTTATAAGATGAACTTTAATTTTAATTAAGAGGAAATATTCTTAGAAATTGTAAAGTAATGGTTAAGATATTTTCTGAAAAAATGATTAAATGTTTATTAGGATAAATGGAAGAATAAAGTTTTTCACCAGAAGAGAGAATAATAACTATAAATTAAATTGATGATGGTTGTTTATATGTAATTACAAAAGGAGAAATTGAATTAATTTTTGAAGGAATGAATAATCTAAATGAAAGAGTTAAAAGAAATAGTTTAAAATATTTATCTTAAGGTGATTTCTTTGGTGAACTTTCATTTTTTACAGGAGAACCTAGAAAATGCACAGCCATTTCTAGAGGATTTACAAAAGTATTTAAAATAAAAAGAGAAAACTTTTTAAAGGTATTATCTTCATTTCCAAATGATTATGAAAAGTTTTGTGAAGTTAAACATTAATTAAAATAAGGAGATTTTAGTTCTTTATAGATTTAATGTTATAGTTGTTAAAGTAATTCTCATTTAATAGATTCTTGTAATTATCTCCATTTTTGTGCAGATAAAGAAGCAATATTGAAAAAAGAACTTTATCCATATAATCAATCTCGTTCTGGTTTAGTAATTCGGAATGCAAAAGCATTTAAATATAAATGGAGTCAATATAAATATATAATTTAAAGAGCAAAAGACTTTTAAACAGATTTTTATTAATAACCAACTGATAATGAAAATGAGGAAAATGAATAACCTTCTTAAATGGTTAATGATAATTATACTTATGAAGATGAATCTAAAAGTATGATATTTAAATTAATTTTTCTTAGTTGAGATTGATGTACCTTCAACACTTAATTAAAGGAGTAATTCAAGAACATTAAGCAGAGTTAGTTAAAAGCCTAATTAAATTGCTGTTGAAGAAGATGATGATTCAAAATTATATACTAGAAAAGTAGTTAATCCAAGAGGAACAGTATAAACAGCAGGATTTGGAAGTGCAAGTTTAAGAGAAAGCAAAAAGTTTGATTTAACTAAAGATTATGAAATAGAATAACCAATTTCTGAAGAATCCTCATCAGAAGAGAAAGATTAAATTATTATACCATCAGTTTCAAAAAGTTAAGACAGAACTCAAAAACAGAAAATAACTTTTATTAGAAAAGAGTCATCTGAAGATATCGTACCTAGATAAGCTTCACTTCGTTCTAGAACATTTACCCAAAATAAATTATAATAAGAAATCTTGAAAAGAAGTGCAACACCTGATAAGTTAACTTCTGAAATTGAAATATCTACTAATAATAATAATAATATTAAAAGATAAGCTGGAAAGAAACATTCTACAACTAAAACATATACAAAATAAGTTTAAGAGGCTACTGAAGGTAATTAGAATATGACTTCTGTAATGGATAATTAAACATATTTACCAACTATACCTTAAATATTTTCTTAATTTGATAAAATGTAGATATTTACTCATTTTTTCCCATTTAGCAATTATGATATAGTAATCAAAAGATATGCAAGAATATAAAAGTTTTTTGGTAAAAAAAGATAATATCCAGAATCATCAAAATATTCATTTTATTTTATGACAATTAAAAAAGGATGGAAATTAAAAAGACTTGGTGAAAAATTACAAGGTTTAAAATTAGTTGATACCATAAGGAAACCATTTGTAAAAACAATTTAAGGTACTAAGATTATAAAAACCAAAAATATATTAAATACCTTAGGAAATTTTGGATAAGTAAGTCCTTAATTGAAAGATGGCTAAGAAAGAAAAGATGGAATCTTATGAGAATAATCATTATTAGATTGAATATAGTATTATATATTAGATATATTACACATTTCACTTTTAATTTATAATATATGTATTGAAATTCTACATAGCATAAATTTATTCTCATATATATATTAAATAAGAATTTTAATTAGTTATATTATTGTACTAAAATGTATATAAATCAATCATCATTTCCACCTCCTGTTCCTCCTCCAAATGAGTTTCCTCCTTAATATGATCTATGATTTGAATGATTATTATTTTAATTATGATCATTTTTCTCATCATCTATTAAATTATCATCTCCTCCTGTATCATCATCCTCATCCTAAACTTTATCAGGATCAAAAAGACCTAAATCATGAGGATTTACTTCAGTATATGGATGTGGAAAACTTTAATCAATTTAATCAGAAGGAGAAACAAATGATTTTTTTAATGCTAATTTATGTTTAACTTCTTTAAGAAATAATATGCTTAAAATAGCTAAAGTATATAAAGAACATATAATTGTAATTCCCATAAATCCATCAAATCTAAAATTATTAATGTATAATAGTACTTGGTTGCATCCTTACCATGAATAACCATACTAACTATTTGAGCAATAAAAGAACTTCCCATAGTGGCACCTGAATATTGTAATCCAATGCAAAAAGAATCATTTAATGGATAGATCTATTCACAACCCCATTCTAATAATAATGGTATTGCAGGCAAAATGAAAAATCCTTACAAAGTTGCCATTGCAAGCATCATCACATAATTTTGTAAATAACATCCCCAAAGGAATCCATAAAATGTAAATATAGTGCAAAATTCTAGAATTATAATAATAGGTTTGTATCTTCCCCAACTTTTATATATTGTAGGAATAATTAAGGAACTAAGAAATCCTCCAATCACAGGCATAACCGAAAGTATTGCAATATCAGATTTACCATATCCATAAGGTTTCAAAATGTATACTAGAGCTACACCATATCCTTTGTAAGAGCCATAAAATAATGTGAATGATAAAAATATTTAGATCTAAAATGTAGAATTAATTGTTTTACAAATTTAATATCTTTTAACATCTAACAAATGCTATCAGTAAATGAGATTACTTAAGTGGGTCCTTTAGCAGCTGCTGATGGTGGACTTTTGGGTTTTGTTTCAAAAAAGATTAAAAGTGGTATTAGGAATACTGCAGAAAATACTGCTTCTGAAAATAGCAAATACATAAATCTTTAATCTCCTGTATCTAATACATCTTTAGGAGTATTCTCATTAATTGTAACTCCTGCAAAAAATATTGGAGGAATTATATATCCCAATATTCCACTAAATGTGACTATGAAATTCAACATTGTCATCAATTTAGTTCTCTGATTAGTTGGAAACCATTCAACTGCAACTGAAGCTTAAGCATTCAGAATTAATGGTCTGGCTATTCCACACAATGTTTAACCAATCAAAACATAGATGAAACTATATTAATTTTATATTCTTACGACTATCTAACAAGACATCTCGAAAATACTCCAAGCAAAGTCAAAATAGCGCCTATTTTCACTGACATACTACTTCCCTTGTACATAATCAAATAACTAGCAGGAAATGTAAATAATGGATGCATGAATAAATACAAAGTAGCTGAAAGAGTGATTATTGAAGTGTCTTCACCATAGATGTAACTTAACTTTATTGAATTATACAGTTTATACTTCAACTGCTATAGGATTGCAAGTAGCATAGACTGCTGTATTACATAATTCCGCCATTGTGAATAAAAATAATATCGCAAATCTCTTTTAATATAGTCTATATCCCTATTACACACTTGATTTAAGATCATTAGAATAGTTTATTGGATCTGATTGATCAGGATTTTATTCAGAACTATAATTTTTCATAAATTTTTATAATAAATTTTATTTTTTAACTATTAAATCATTTAAGTAATTTTTTTTAAATTATTTATCATTCATAATTCATCATGTTAATTCATCAATTCATAAATATTATATTTTATCTATATTGCTTATCTTAATTTATAATATTTTATTAATTCTACTGAATTTCTATTTTTATATAATAAAATCATTTTTTGGTTATCTATTAATACTCATTATAGAAACCTGGTATATATCAGACATGATTCTAACTATAAAGAATCTTGATAAATTATTTTTTAATCTCAATTATACATTTATATATTTTGCCAATTTTTATATTGATAATTACTATTATTATCTATTCACTTAATTACATTATTGAAAATCTTGAAGGTTAATAATTCATATTAAAACTATGGAATAATTCTTTGTTTGTATCAGATTGTTTTTCATTATTATAATTGTTGATATCCTTTTTCTTTTAAATTTTGTTATATACTAAACTCTATTTACTATACATAATTAGACACATCTTAATATAAAAGATACTTTAATAATAGTACTAAAACTTATGTTTTAAGTAAGAAGATGTTTGCAATTTATTTTTAGAATATTGAAGACTTTTATTTAATTGATTTTGAATCCAAAATAAACAGGATTTATAAAATAAAGAACTTGATATTCATTCTTTATTTTTATCATAAAATTTCAGAGTTTTTAGAAATGACTAAAGAAATTTGAAATAACAATATTTGTTTGATAATAACAATTTAAATAATTATATTGTGTAGGGTTGGTGATATTCAATTGCATTATTCTTAATAATTATCACCTAAAGAGTTAAAATATTTTAATAATATATGTTGACATTTATTTATTATTTAATCTATAAAATTATGTGATCAATCAAATTAAGAGTCATCAAGAAATTTTTTCTCTTGCAATCCTTAATAGGTAGTAAGTCCCATTTGATTTTCAGGTTTTGTATATTCTTTGATTTTCTTACCTTTTTCATGGATCTAAAACTAAATGAAAGAATTACTTTATCAATTTCTTCTAAAGCATCAATTAATTTTTATTGAGTAGCAAAATGTATTCCCTCCTTTTATTATATAAAATTTGCAGAAGAAGGTACAAATTAATGAAATGGTTCTTCTAAATCATTTTATATGATTGCATCTATTCTTCTTACATTAGAAATGGTTTATTCAAGTAATCTGCGAAGAATAGGATTTTTACTTGCTGCCTATAGAATTTCTTCTTTATTTAATTCTCCATCTCCATCTTAATCAACTTATTTGATCATTTCTCTAATAACCATTTTTAGTTAATATTTATCATTTTCATTTATGATATTTTACTTTAAAATATTAAAGATTTCTTTTTCACTTACTTTACCTGATCCATCTTCATCACATAAATCAAAAAAGACTATTCTATTTAAGTTTAAGATAAATTACTTTTTAATTTTTCATCAATTGTATCATCTTTCAAAACTTCTAAACCTACTATAAGTTCTTTATAATCAACAGTACCACTAGAATCTTCATCAAATACATAAAATAATTTTTCTGCTAAATTTTTATCTGCTCCTAATCCAAAAGAAATAAGTAATCCTTAGAATTATTCTCTATTTAATCCATCAGGAAAGTCTTTGGCTTATTTTACAATAGATTAATAATTTTAAAATATTTATCTTATTGCATCTTTTCTATTCTTTAATAACCATTAAATAGTTTTCCATTTCATTTTAAATTTAGATTTTGGAGCTATTTTTTTTTTAAATGATTGTAAATTAAATCCATAATCTTTTCTGGCAACATTTAACATAATACTAATTGAGCCACTAGCCACAGGCAAGGCTTGCTAATTAATTTTACTTTGCATAGAATATTTTTACTTATTGCTTGTCTTTTTATCATAAATGAATCTATAGATCTATTCCATTCTTAAATGTTATGGTGCATTACATTTATGCTTGAACTCTAATTTAATAAAAATTATACTAAATAGATCTTGATCATGAGATGTTTTAATGATTTCATCAAAATCTTCATCTTCAATAGGTTTGGATTTAATAGTTTTACTAATGATAAATGATCTAATAGGTTTTGCAGTTGTAATTCTAGTTTAACTACGATTGGATGAAATAGTTTATTATGGAATTGTTCTATTGCTATGAATAGTATTTGCAGTATTAGCAGATTGTATTCTATGATAATATTCTGTTGATTAAGGTCTGAATCCCTAAGTTGAAAGAGAAGTTTTATAAATTTACATAATAAATATAAATATAGAATAATCAAATAAATGAATATGATTCATTGTGATCATCAATGTATACACTAGCTTAATGTTTTGAATTGTCCAAATCAATTGGTTCAAATTGTATAATTTCCACATTCCCTAATTGTGTTACTTTATGAGATCTAAAATAAGTTAAAAAAATATATATACTATTTTATTGCAATGATAATTCTAATTATTTGAATGAAATAACGTAAGAATATTAAAATCAACCCTAATGAATCATCAACTTCAATAATATTAGTTTTTATCTATCTATATTTATTTATATGATAATGATTTACAAATGCAATTCAAATACATAATATAGACTGATTAAGATTAATATTAATACGAAAGCTGTTAAATCCATAATATTCCAGTTATCTTTAAAAAAATACTAGAATAAATCAAATATAATATTACTTCTCTTTCTGCAATTATTCTAATACATATATCTATCATTATTGCTAATGTCAATATTATTTCTGCTTCTATTACCATATTCTCCTTGAGACTTAATTATTTAATAATAGCTTACTTTTATTCTGGGTCAATTATTATCTAAATGATAAAAGTTCATACATACACTAATATCATAATTGAGAGCAATACCTGCACTACAGAAAACATTAAATAATGTTTGTGCATTCTTAAATTTGTCATCATATGTTTACAATTTTATTTCATTTTAATTATATTATTATAAAATTATACTATTTAATCAATTACAATAATATCTAAGTAATAGTATCACATATAAAGGATATTAAGAAAATAAAGATGTTGATTAATAAATTAATCGAAAATATATACTAATTTAAATTAGAACTTGAAATATAAAATTGTATGACATTTATTAATACCAATTAATGAGTGAATAAAAGTATTTAATTAAAGATTAATGCTATTTTTTGATTTCTACTTATTTAATGATAAAAAGTGAAGATATTTCATTATAATCTATTCATATTTTTGAAAACAGTATACAAATTTTACAATATAATCTATCAAGTTATATTATTTATTAAAAAATTCTTATTTATATATATAAATTTGAGTTTTATAAATGGAATATAATGCAACAGGATTATCTGTAATCCCTGATGAAAAAATATAGAAGAATATATGGAATTCATTTGTTTGTGAATTTCCTTTATGTTCTAATCTATATTAATTACCTGATAATTAGAAATTTAGATATAAGTTTATGTCAGCTTTGATGATGGTGAATATTTTTGACGCATTAACAAATTGGCAACAATTATCAATACTATAAAATATATATGAATCTTTGAACAGAATTGTAAATGATAAAGACTAACCACCAATAATAAAATAATAAATTGTAAATATTATGAACCCCTTTTATATTTTGATAACTAATTTATAACCATTTGATTATAATATAATTGATCATTAGTAATAAGATTAAAAGACTATATAAAAAGTTTAAGAATACTTATAAAACAAAAGAAAGTACATATACTCTTATTTAGATAATGAATAGGGAATTAATACTCTATTCTAATTGTCAAGAGGAATAGCTTTGAGTGAATATCTTAAGCCTGATAATGAGATGATTACTTCAATAACATAATGTATCAAATAGTTGAATAAGGAAGAAATTATCAAAAAATTATGCAGTGATGATTTAGAAATAAATTCATTAAACTATTTTATTTTAGAAGATTATGAAGTCATTGCAATATCACATTTATTTAATTTTCCTATTAATTTTTTTATTAATTATTTCGATCAATAAAGCAATTACCTAACAAAAAGAAGAATACAGTAATAATAAAATTAAGAAAAAAAGATTGCATTTTTATTAGAAATCTATTAAAATAAATATACAATAAGAATTTTGCAATCGAATCAAGATATTCTCTATATTTAAAATATAATTAACCACAAATAATAATTATTTCAAATTGATTAATCTATTGTAGAAATCATATAATAAATTATTGAGAGCATACTAAAATAAGCTTCATATGATTTTTGTAATTTAAATAAATTTTGGATTACTAAAGTACTATAGATAATATAACTTGGTGAAGCATAAACACTAATTGCCAATAAATAGACTATAAAAATAAATGAATAATTTTCAAAAGATAGTTTCAATTTATTTTAACTTTTAAATTTAGATCAAAAAATTCACCAAGAATTTGTATTAAGTTCTGAATAGAATCTAATATACATAGAAGAACTTATTGAAAATACTATCATATCCTAAGTTACAATCATTAGAGATTACATAACAGAAATTTTAAATAAATATATGAAACCTTAATCTAATTCTCCAGATTAAATAGTCTTAACCGATAAAGCTTCAGTCCCAAAAGATCTAGTAAATAATTCCTTATTTTCATCTTTACCTAATTAAATAACAAATTAGTCTTAATAATAAATTAAATAAAATTTGACTTATAAGCCATTACCAAAAGTCTTAGAGAATGATTTTCCTTAAAATATTGATAATCATGAATAAGACTGTAAAAATTCTCAAAGTAATGTTATATAAAATGTATCATTTTAAAAAGAATAGTAAGACATTAAATATTAAACAAAAGAAATTACATAGAATTAAATTGATAATTCAAAATCATCAACTACTTTAACATTATTATAGCATTCTTATAATAAGAATGATAAGTTAAGATCAACAAAAATTATAAATTAATCAACTAATTTTAGAAGTGAAGTCATCTATTAAAAATCTAGTGCAAATTAAATAGGTTTATAGAATACTTTTTTTGAAGAAATTTTAAATTTATAAAATGATTATTTTGTTTCCCTTTAGAATAGATCATCTCATTTAAAAGCTAAATCAGACATACTTTTAATGAAATCTTTAGGAAAAGAAAAAGATAGTTTAGGATTTGTACCAAAAAAATAGATAATAAAATAAGACAATAAATTTAGTAATTCTTAAATTATGAGATAAAATGTTAAACATAAAAAATCAGAGATTGACAATTTACTTAAATAAACTATATCTCCTTTTTTTTGTCCTATTTGCTAGACAGAAATTAATGAAGCTAGTGGAATCAGAAATCTACATGATGATCATAAGATTTGTTAGTCTTGTTTAGAAGATTGGATCAAAGTAATATTAAATTAATTTAATAAAGGTTAAATTTAATTCAGGATAATGGAATTTTAAATATTTTAAATGTCCAATATAACTCAATAATGGGGAGAATATAAAACCTTGTTAACGTATTATTGATTAATAAGAAATTAAAAATGTTTTGACTCCTGAAGAATTTAGTAAATTAGCAGAACGAGCTATAAAACATGGAATTATTGATATAATATGTCCTAATTAATCTTGTAAAACAAGTATAAAAGGTATGCCTCCATAAAATTAAAATGAATTACGATGTCCACTATGCTCTCATAAGATTTGTTGTGTTTGCAAGTATATTTATATTTACAATATAATAATTTAGAAACTTAGATCATGGTGCATCAAAATGTCCATAACGTCTAGATGAGATAAAAATGGCTTTATTGGATGAAAGAGTTAGTTGTTGTCCTGGATGTCTAGAAATTTATATGAAAAATGATGGATGTGAACATGTTTCTTGTACTAATTGTTTGATAGAATTTTGTTTTTTTTGTAGTGCTTTTAGACCCCCAATTATAGCACATGGTATTAAATAGTAAATAATAATTAGGAGCTCATTTTCATAGAGTTGGATGTAATTATAGATTTCCTTTATGGATTGATAAATATAAAAAAATAGAAAATTTAGGAGATGAATATTTACCTGATGAATGTGAAGATTGTAAACAAAATTAAAAAGCATGTCCTCGTCCAATGAGTTTAGATGATTTTAAGAATTTAGCTCATTTAAATTTTTGAAGTAATAAAAAGTTATAATCAGTACTAATTTTAAGTTTTAGTTTTATTTTATAAATATTTTTCTATATCTGGATTTTAAGGATAAAATTTATAGTATTAATTTTGTTCAATTAAAATAATAAGTATATTTTTCACAATAAATATTTTAGATTTTTGAAATACTTTTATATGTTTTCAATAATGGCATTTTAAGTATACAAAAGTACTTATTTTGATAAATTTTATTTACTATATTTACACTTTTTCACTATTGTTTTTAATTTAAAATAAATCTTTCAGATTTAACAATAAAGTTTTACTAATATTCTATTTTAATTTATTAATATTAGTTTTAGAATTATAAGTATAATTAATTTTTATTTCATATGGAAAATATAAAAAAGATGGTAATTATTTTTATGTCCATCTAAAACAAAAGGAAATCCTATTATGGACTATTATAGATATATATAATTTTAAACTCATTAGTCTTCATCTTTAGAATACTTTAATTTTATTTATTCTAGTTCTTATTTTAATTTTTGATTTTCTTCAATCAATTATTATGATCTTAGATTCCAATTCTAGTATAAAAATTGAATTAAAACCTTTGATAAATCATCTAATTATGCAAAAGACTAAACAGAAATGATATTTAATTATTTCACTAAATCTTATCTAATTTAATCTTATTCTTCTAATTTTTAGATGTTGATCTAGGAATGTTATTTATTCTCCTCAATTTATTTCATCAAATTCTACTTTAGATAATGATTTACATTTAATTTTTCATTATTTTATTCACTCTTTTTTTTAGAATCTTATTATGCAGAATACATTTCATATGTTGGAAGTGTTATCAATAATGCATAGATAAGGATTTCGTAAAAGAATTCTACTCCCTTACAAATTTATTAATTTAGATTACTTTTTCTAACGCCACTTCGTCATTCAAAGGCTTAAAGAAAAAATCACTACTTTTTTTATCAATACCCATAAATTTGCTATCTATTTTTTACTATATTTCAAAATTTCATTACGTCCCATTTATGTTAAAAGTTTCCTAAACGAACATAAAATTTCTTGATCCAATTTGTATGTCCTGATTAAGCTTTCTTTAAATGTGCAGCCTTTGTTCTAGCTATAACTGGTCTTGCAAACACCCTCACAACCAATGAGAAAACTTTGAATAAGGGTAACATTATTATTAACTATAAATTATAGATAAATTAAAATAATTATCAATTAACATGATTAAAGAGTTTTGTTCGAAAAGCTATAAAGAATTATAATTAAATCATACTTTTTGAAGGTGGAGGAGAATTGCTGTAAACAATTTGTCTTTCATTGGAAAGCAATCTTGATCGTTCCATAGTGCTTACAGTAAATGAAGATTAATTATCTTTAGATAAATCCCCAATTATATAACCGTATTCTCGAATGAAGTTAAAGAATTTCTAATCTAAAGGTTTTAAAAGTTTGATTTGTATTATATCACTTTTATTTCTTGGACTTCTATCTTGTTCCTAGAATGTAGTAGAGTTTATTTTAGAAAAAGATGAATCTAACTCAAGGCCTGAAAACAACCTTTTTTAAAGAGAAAGATCTTCTTTAGATTACTAAGATGAAGACCTTTAATCTAAATTAGATTTAGTTGAGTTTTAAAACACTTTAATTTAAATTCCCTACTCTCCATTTTCAATTTAGTTTCCTCTTGTATTTCTTTGTTAAAGATTGTAAATTTATTAAACTTGTTGAACATTCTATTTTTCCTGATTAATAGGATTCTTTACTGGTTTAATATCATATTCCTATAATGTTTTTTATTGCATTTTATTAGAAGCTGCAAATCTCTGTTAATACATTATATTATTTATCTGAAAAAAAAAATAATATATTAATAATTTTAAAGTATTGTTAAACCTCTAAACTTACTTTAAAATTATAAAAAATACAGAAAACTATTTCATCATTCATTTGTATTTGAATATATATAAAATTGAATCATTATTATATGATGTCAAATGATATCATTTAATATTGTAAAAATAATAATATTAATAAATATATTTAATCTAAAATGATTCGTAATATTTTAAAATTTGGCTTCTCAACATCAACACTAAATATGGAACCCAAACGTAAATTTGGTTTGTTCAAATTAATTGTTGGGGCTGTCATTGGAGTTTATGGATTCGATTAAGGAAGAAAATATAGAGAATATTTATCAAATACTTTCCTTACAAAAGAATAAATCAATGATTTAGCATTAAAAAATATGATCAAATCCAAAGATTAGCAATTAATAGCTCATCCAATTAATAGCGTTAATAATATCAAGAATAAAGAAAAAGTAGTTGTAATTGGAGGGGGTAATATTAAAATTTACAAATAGGAATAATTGGAATCTCATAAGCATTAAAATTATTAAGAATGGGGTATAACGTAACTGTTATTGAATAAGCTAATACTGTTGCATCAGAATGTAGTGCTTTTAATGGAAATGTTTTTAATCCAATGTACTTTTTACCATTAGTCACAAGAGTAATTAAAAATATATTAAGGCTAGGATAACTTAATTTATATGATTAAAAATATATTTGAAAAACCTGAATTAACTACAGTAAGATTTAATATGAATGCTTTTTTAGAAACCAATTTTATATAATGGGGAATTAATAGTTTATTATTGAGTATGACAGAGTATTATAATTAATTTATTTAATTAGCAATGCTTAAATAGTGAATTCAAAAAAATAATTAAGAATTGGATCTTTAACTTTATAGGACATCGAAAAATTAAAGCCTTCTGGGTTATTTAAAGGACATTTAATTGCAAAAGGATAATTAGGGTTTTTTGCTTCAGATTAAAAAGTTAATGCTTATAAAGATAGATTAGAATTATTAGGTATTCCTCATATAAAAGTTGACTCTTTTGAATAAATTGAATAATTCACTAAATCAGATTTAAAAACAGAACCAAATATTAAACTTTTCAATAGATTTAAAAAAGCATTGATATTAACTACTGAATCAAATTTAGAAACAAGAGAATTAACATAAACAATGCTCAAATATTGTTAAGAAAACTTTCCAAATTAATTTGCAATTGCATTTTAAACTTCTGCTTAAAATTTTGTTTTAGATACAGATAAAAATGTCAAAGGAATTTAAACAAATAAAGGGTATATATTAATATAATGATAGAATTGTTTTAGGAGATAGTTTTGTTATATGTTTAGCACATAAAAGTAAAGAATTAGCACATAAATTAAGACTAAATCTACCTATAGTTCCAGCAAAAGGATGGGCTATGGGAAGAACTGCTCCTTAAAATTTCAATTAAACTTTAGTTAAAGAATTTACTTTAAATACTCCAAATTATTTTGCAACAAATTTAAATGGACATTTAAGATTAGCAGGATGTGCTGAAGTTTGCACTGATACTCCATCAACTGATGCAAGTAGTGAATGGGGAGCAATTTAAATATTAAATAGATTTAATGAACAAAATGGATTTGACTTTAAAATGAGTGACTTTACTGTTAGAAGTTGTTTTAGACCATTAACACCAGATGATGTTGCAATAATTAGTGATGTACCTGGATTCAAAAATGTATTTATAAATGCAGGTCATGGATCAAGGGGTATGAGTTATTGTTTTGGAGCAGCTGATATAATGAGTTAAGTTATGGAAGGATCTAAGGAATTTGAAGATTACAATGTGAAGAGGTATTATTTTATATGATTTATTAATAAATATTCGTTAAATTAAATGTAAAAAAAAAAAGGACATTCTAAGAATCTATCAAAATAAGCTGTTGATTTAATTAATTACTATAATAACTTAAGGACATCAATTACTAATGAATTTGCCATGATGAATTTAAATAAAAAAATGTCATTATATATAGCTGATTAACGTAATTCATTTTGTAATTTTAATAGCTATTGCAGAAGAAGATGTTGAGGATTCTCCTATTAAGCTTTAAAGAAATTGTTCAAAGACAGAACATATTAATATTAATATTTATGCATAAACATTTGATTTAGATGAAGAATTATAATAAGATGTAAAATAGTTAAAATAAACTTTAAATTAAAGTATTTATCATTTATTAACAATAGGAATAACTTAATTAAAAAGTATAATTAATTAATCTGAGCAAATGAAAAATATGAAAAATTAAAATAACAAAGAAAATTAATGCTAAAATAATCAAAATTATGCTATTAATAAAATATAAATAAAAAAAAGAGTTTGAAAAAAAACATATAATTTGTTTCAATTTAATTCTTATTAATGTAATCTTATTTATACTTAATTCATATTTTATAAAAATAAATCTAAAAAAGATTATTTATAAATATTTATTTCAATTATTTTATTAATATTATATCTGATGACAATTGACATATGGATTTTAGCATAGAGCAATTTAATAATGTCCTGGTCTAAATAGTAAATTAATTTAATATAAATCCTAATTTTAATTATAAATTTCAACATCAATACCATCTCTTCTGAAAAAATATAAATTAACTTAACTAAATATTTATAATAATAAAAAATTACAAATTTAATTCTTCACTTAGAAGTTAAATTATGGCTTGATTAGTATTACATTCTTTTTACCAAGTGACAATCTCCTCATATAAATCTCCATCAAGAAAATTTGATATCTTATTTTTTTATTCTTCATATATTTATCTAACAATATTTCTAAAAATTGTTATTGAACATACATAAAATATTTTGTTACTTTTTGAAAAATATTCTAATAATTTAGAATTGTCTTGGAGTAGCTCTTGAATAACAGAATTAAAATATTATTTTATTTAAATTTCATTTTATGTCTTTATTAAGGACTAACCATTAAAAAATAATGTTAAATTTAATTTATTAACCTTATTAATAAATTCAAGTATTTTATTATTTTATCTTGAATTTTATAATAACATCTTTAAGTATTAATAGAAAAACGATGTGTAAAAGCAATTTCCATCTCCTCTTACTCTTTAATAACCAATGATATTTTTGCATTTGTTTTCAATATCTAATTTTTGTATTCCATATTCTTTATTAAAAGCAACTTAATTTTCTGGTGGATTTATATAATTAATATCAAGTAACTAAGCTCCAGATAAAAATTCTAAATTTTCAATAAATTCATTTAATAAATTAACATTTTCTTTTAAACACTTTTCTTCTTAAATAGACAATTCAATTAATTATTATTGTTAATATTGTATTATATTAACTTCAATCAATTTTTAAGAAATTTTTTTTCCTTAGTTAATCCATTCATCTAATTGTGCAAATATATACCAAAATTCTTTGATCATTACTGTTTATTACAATTAAATATTCTATTGAGTAATTAATAAAGCAGCATCAGCTATTAGTTTAACAATATTTTAATAATGGCTTTAAACTCTATTTATATACTATTCTAATGATGTTATTAATGTCTTTGTGATATTCATTATTATATAATTTAAAATTATAATTGTTAATTATAAATAAATATTTTATCTCTAAATACTTATCGATAGGATAAGGATAAGCTCATAATAGCATAAATTCTTAATGCTATTAAATTTTTAATTTTTTTTTCTTATCTCCATTACCTATTGAAGTGTTTCTAAAAATATCTATATACTCTTAATAATTTTATTTTCTTAACCATAGATTGTTCATATGATATTCAATTCAGTTTTTAAATAAATGAAATTTTTTAATGATCTCAAGTTGAAGTTTGATGAAAAAGAATTAGAAGAGAAATATTAGATAGATAAAGCGAAGTCAATAAAGAAGCCTGTCTTTTTATTTATACTACTTCTTTCCTTCTGTTCTAATATTACAGTATTAGTACTCCATTTTTTTGTTAAGCCTTCAGAAACTTGGTATATAAATGCCATATTAGTTGGTTTGACAATAATTTAAACTATAATGATACTTATACTTAAACAGATTCAATTGATATAATTTGGATTGACATTTAGCAGTATTACAATAGGGATTTTATAATTAAATGTTGACCCTTTAAATACAACTTAGACTGAATTTTATGTTTATGGATGTATATTTATGTAATTTCAAGCAGTGCTATTTATGATTTCTAATTTTGATCATGCAGTTTTTTAAGTAATTTTTAGTCTGGCAATAAGAACATTAATTACTACAATTTATTCAAAGAGAGCAGATTATTTATCTATATTTGTAGGAGCATTTGCTTGTATTTTAATTCTTATTACAATTTATGTAAATGATAAAAATGCCAGAAGATATTTTATATAAAACTTGAAGGAGAACAATCTTAAAAAGTTAGGTAAATTTTTGCTAAGTAAACCATATCTTAAATTATAATTTCATGAAGATTAATAGATTTTTTAATTGTTGAGTGAAAATCAAATTAAAAAATTTCCAGGTTATAATGAAGAGATATGTGATGGATGTAATACAAGAAATATGTTAAGATTTTATAAATCGAATAATGAAAGTTTAGAGGAAATTTTAATAAATCAGATTGATTTAATTAAGTTTGGTTGTATTTTATTGATAAAATGTGGAAAAATTAGATTCTTAATAAAAATATGTGCAATAGATCCACAACATCGTTAATATTTAATTATTTTTTAAGAATATTAACAATAAATAGTAAAGGTCTTATAATAAGAAGAAGAATAAATAAAATTAAAAGATTTCTTAAAATAAAATCAAATTTATTATCATTAAAAAATATTTAATTTAGGAGCTTTCAGTGTATTATTTTTAAATAAATAAATTATAAAGAAAATTGAGTTTAATTTACTGTTAAACAAAATAGTTAGGATATACAAAAGTAGATTTTTCCCAAATATT